ACTTCCGCTGAAATAGATTGATGTGCAATATGACCTAAAGATCCCCTCAATCATCACACGCCCCTCTGGCCCAATATCCAATCTGTACCCCTAAAGCTTCTGTTGGAGGGATGTTAACACCTTCAACCTGCAATTCCCCCTTTATAAGCTGTTGTCTCCCCGATGGAAAACAGTTCGGCAACCTAGCACCCATCTTTGGAGCTAGGACCAGGCCAGGTATACCTTCTCCTGAAATCTGAAGTCACAATTGCTAGAATTAGCAATGCAGAACCATGTTGTTAAAAAAACCCACACCTGTCTAAGGGTAGCTCAGCCTTTATAATTAAATAACACACCGAGTCTCTGCAAAGCCAAGGCACAGCATGTAAAAACAGAAGTGTCTTTCTCCCTCAAAGCATCTTACTCTATGCCACTGTCTATGGGCAGCACAGTCTTAGCATGGGACTGTACATCAAAGCTGAGATTCACCAACCCCATCCTGTGCTTACATACCTGTATGATCCTTTCTTTCCTCAGGTGCAAGCAAGCTGACATTTGACATCCTTTGCTCCCTGGTTTGTGCTGGATTTAGAAGCAGTACAAGTTGCAAGACTCAGCCTCCTCACATGGCTGCCTCATTCTTTCAGGGAAGAAACAACCTCTGTCCTTACACATATTTAGGTTCTTGCATTTGGGTGCTTGTGAGCTTACTGGTTTTGTTCAATGTTTGTTGTTTGTTTTTTTTTCAATCAAGTACTTCCTCTTTTGAAATTATTACGGTATACTATCCCTGCAGATATTCTTGCCGTTGTGTTCTCTGCTTTCCGATCAGGGAGAGGGAAATGGAAGCCAAATCTCAGGTACAGAGTTGTTCAGCTCTCACAGGGGCCGATTAGATTGTAGATTTACTTCCATGTAATTTTGGAAACATCCACTACAGGCACACAGAACTTCCCCACTTCTCTGTAAATTTTGCTACTTCCTTCTAAGAGGAGCTGACACTTCACATGTGGAAAATATACAGCATTGTCATTCTTGCCACTAAGTAATTGAAGAACTCATGACATATTTGTGTGTTTGTAAGGATACATTTTAAACTTTCAGTGAATAAAAACTCTCCTCAGAGCAGTGTATTTTTAAACAGTTATGAAAAATGCAGCTTTATAAAGAAATGTACTATTGGCATGTCCTAGAGTACTTTGGTATTTTAAGTATTTGAACAGACAAACCAGCATGCCTATTCTTTGCTGAATGAAAACCTGCAAGTTTGGTGTTTGTAGGTAGGTAACAGAGGGTCTGTATTTGCTCAGGGCTTATTGATTGCCAAGATCAGGTTTTCATTAACCTGATTATGTTAATGGGGTTATCACGTAACTCTGTGATGTGACAGCCCACCCTGGTATGCAGCACAGCAAAAGCAGGAAAGCCTAATGAGCCATGAGCATGTTACAATACGGGCTATTAAGAATGATGGTGCTGTGTAATATCTGAGTGCCTCTGCTTTCTCTTTGTAAAAACAGAGATCAGTCCTACCTGTAAGGCCTGACTCCTGGTAAAGCAGAAAGGGACAGAGAAGCAAAATATTTTGCAGAGCAAGGATTTTGCAATGCTTCTAAAGTCTCAGTGCTTTTTTCTGTCCCTTATGTAGCAGAAGCTTAAGAGCTTTGATTTCTGGGCACTTTATCTCAGTCTTTTGCTCCTGAGTTACTTCCTGGTGATTCTTCTCTGCGAGATCCCTGTGCTGGGCTGCAGATGAGGCACTGCGATTCAGAGGTTATTTGAGAGCTGAGGAAAAGCAGCTGGGCAGGTGGAGCAAAGGGAGAGAACAGAATGTGCTGGAAACTTCCAGCACTATTTTTTTTTTTTTTTTTAAGGGGCACAAAAATTATACCAACGCTTTTCAGCCACTGCAATACATATGACGAGGAGGAGGGAGGGCGGCAGGAGAATAAACAAACACAGACAAGGAAGCAAAAGGTGGCAGCCGGTGCCTGGCCTGCCTGCGGCTCGCTGCCGGCAAAGCTCTGCAGCAGGGCTGGCCCTGGGCAGAGGGGAGCACAAACCAGCTCACCAGCTGGGACACGCACATGGTGACTTCTCCTTCTTCTCCTCACCCCTTTCCCATTAGGCAAGAGGAGGAGAGGCTCATTGCCCAGGCTCAAAAGAAAGTGACTATTAATAATACCATCTTCTGCCAGCTAGGAATCTCAAAGCATTTTACGGCCATGAATTAATCCCTGCACAAGTCTGGTGAGGCAGAGACAGTCAGTGTCATTATCTTTGCTTTAAAGCACAGAATTTTGAGGACGATCATCTGGCTGCCAAAGCAGGCATCTGCTTTTCTTACCCCCAGTCCAGGAGGCAGGTATTCTCCCCGGGCTCAGCCGTACCTGCCTGCTACGTGCCTGGCACTTCTTCAGACCTTGCTTTTCAGAGACCTTTGCGTCCCCATCTTTTTGCAGGCATTGCTGTGCTGTGCTACCCCGTCCTCCTCGCCTCCCCTCCCCATCCTTATCCACAAGAGGATATCCTCCATGGATAGGCTCAGACGGAGCCCAGGCGAGGGCTGCTAGGATATCCTCAGCACTGCGTATTATTTGTTTTTCTCTGTGTCCATCAAATAAGCAGACAGATAAGCTGCTTCCCTCTCCCTCCCATCACTCAGGGCTTCAGAGCGGACACCCTCCGTGTATCCCACTGCAAATGCTGCTTCTGCCGCAAGGTTGATGGGCGAGAACCCTAATGCGTCTCCCTCCATGCTGCCGTACTCACCATCTCGTTGTAGGCATCCCTGCTGAGCCGAGGGGTCAGTTTGATGGTCCCCATAAAGACGAAGAAGAGCCCCAGGGCCACCGAGAGGGCGATGATGGTGATAGTCCTGGGAGATGCCATGGAGCCTCCGGCAAGCGGTCCTGGGAACCGGTCCTAGCGAGGCCTTCTGGCTCTGGCTGCCAGCCCGGGCGGGAGGTAGTCAGTCACCATTGAAGGAGATGAGGAATAAAGCTGCGGAGGCAGCGAGGGTGACAGCGGGAGGGGGATTCAGCCTCCTCCACTCAGCTGCCGCCGGGTCCTAATGCCCCGCGGCCGGAGCCAGCGGCGTTCCCACCGCTCCTGCCACCAAGTCATCCTTTCTTTCCTTGCGCGTTCCGTAAATTACCCACGGAAAGCCGAAACTGAGCCGGTTGTAGGGATGCGGGATGGCAGCCGAAGGCACGGCACGGTCGCTCACAGGTGGGAAAACAAAGAGGTGTTCACAGAGGGCAACGGGAGTTACCCACTACAAGAGGAAAAGTGGTTGTAGGTCTCTTGCACATAGGCAGCTTCCAATTTCAGATGATCAGACGCTAATACACAGCAAACAACAAATTGCTTCATATATTTGCCCCAGAAAAGCAAAAAAGATGTCTTGCCCCTGTGGCTGTCCTGGAACCTGATGCCCAAAAGGGACAGTGAGGCCACTGTGCCACCCTCCATCATTGCAGGTAAAACCTGCCCTGTATGTTCAGCTCTCCAGAGATTAGTGGAAAGGTTTCCTGATCCTCTATTACTTTCTGATTTAAAGTCACTATCTCTCCCCTTCCAATTTGCAACAAATTTCCTTTTGACAAAAGCATGGCCAGGCTCAGCAGAGATCACTTCAGATCTCACAGCGAGAAGCCAAGGTATGATTACAAAAAACAGAACTGCTGGAAGACTGCAGCCTTTGGTATAAACTGCAAGAAAGAGGCTGTAAAAGTGTGCAAAAATCTTACACTCGTGGGATAGTACAAGAGCGACGCTTCCCATGCGTCAGGAATCTCTCCATCACCTTCCTTTCTGGTGTAGTAAGTCTTAAGTCCTACACCCATGTATTTTAAGCCCCCATGGCTTGAGAATTTGTTATTATTCCAAGCTCAGGATTCCTTAGGACTGGAGTTTAAAGTCTGAAAAATACAGGCAGCTCTCCCTGTTTCCTTGGGAGTT